TAAAAAAGCCACAAAAAACATTGTACTTTTGGAGCTTTTTCGAGTCATAGTTGCCTTGGAAATTTGGGGAATTCATCTAGCCAATAAACGTATTTTAATTAATTCTGACAACAAAGGTGTTTTATTCGCGGTGAACTGTTTATCCTCTAAATCACCATTTGTAGTAAAATTTGTAATAAAATTGTTAAGGTATTTAGTTTTCCTTTGTCTTAAGTTAAACATTTGGGTAAAAGCATCTTATATTCCAGGGAAGCTTAACGTTGTTGCGGACTCTTTGTCACGTTTCCAGGTGCAGCGTTTCAGGGAGTTATTGCCGGAAGCCGACCAGGAGGGTTTCAAATGCCCAAGTCTCTTATGGTATCTGATCTAAACGGGGTTTATGCTGCCGTCCGCAATTCAGTGACTCCAAAAACGTGGTCTGATTATTCTAACGTGGTACAAGTGGTCGAATTTTCATGGGGAGGCTAGTTCATATTACCTAGCTCCTTGTGAAGCATCCATTCTGGCCTTTATTGGTTTATTTATTAACCCCTTCGTGACGGGATACGTACAGTGTACGTCCCGGCACTTTCTGCCTATGTGACTGGCCACGTACACTGTACGTGACGAGTTATATCAGGCTTTGTAATGCTGGTAACAGCTGATTCTCAGCAGTTACCAGTCATTAAAGAATGCCTCACTATTGAGGCATTCATTAATGAAATAATTAAGCTTTTTGTAAAAGCTTCTTCCTTTCAGTAATGAAAGAATGAAGCTGTTACATGCAAATACAGGACTGCAATTTGCGATCCCGTATTGGACAGCTGAAAATAGCAGAGAGGTAGCAGTGACTCACCTCTCTGCTATTTTGTTTTGACAGCTCAAGAGCCCGATGTTTAGATACATTTCACTAAAAAGATACAATGTATATCTTTTGAGTGAAATGTATCAGTTCTGATCGTCTAAGCACGATCAAAGAGCTTTTAGGCCTCATTCACACTGAGCGACATGAAAATCGCACGATATTGAGCGACTTGTCACGCAACTTTTTCCTATTGGGCTGTATGCAATCAGGAGCAAAATCGCTTGAAAAAAGGGTCATGTAGGAGCGACAAGCTACCAGCGACGAGCTACAAGCGATATTGAGCGACGAGATGTGAACAGCTCCATTGAAATGGATTGGAGAAGCTACATAGAGCGATATTGTGTGGAAATATGAGCGATATCGCTGCAAAAATCGCTCGATAAATCGCTCAGTGTGAATGGGGCCTTAGTGAGATCTGAATCTGACTAAAGTCAGGATCAGTCTCTAAAGGTTCTTATTAGCTGTCTAATAGCCCCAAAAACATTTTAAAAAGTTAATTTATCAAGCAGTCATAGTGATTGCTTGATATAAACTGACAAGAAAAAAAAATTATTTTTTTTTTTACAAAGTGTAAAAAAAATTAAAAAGTGTAAAACAAAATTAGGAAAATAAAAATTATATATAAATATATTTGTTATACTATAATTCATATAAAACAAATTCTAAAAAAATAATAATAATCAAAACTTGTGAAAAAATTTTCTTGTTTTCTTCTAGTTTTTTTACTCATTTTTTTTATTTTATTCAAACTAAGTGAGGGGTTAGGTACACATATGTGATATAATTACATAGCCCTATCTGTTCTCTAAAAAACAATATATAATGTGTGGGTACGTTTAGTAAGAAAGTATATTACTGCTGTGAAAGAATCACACAGCAAAAATGTAAAAAGTGTGTCAGTCATTTATGAACAGAAACTGAAAACTAGCTTCAGTCATGAAGGGGTTAAAGATAATCCTTCATATAGTCACTTAGCAAAGACACTAGCAGGTATTTCATTTTTCTTTAAACTCCTTGGATTCCCCTCCTGTAGTAGTTATTTTGCGGTACAAAGAATTTTGAAGGGATATAAAAGGTCCAATTGCAGACAGGATGATAGGCACCCTATTTCCAGTGAGCTTTTAAAAAGAATGTGTAAAATCACTAGCCAGGTATGCAGCTCAGAGTATGAATCCAGTGTTTTTAACACTGCGTTTATTTTGGCATTTTTTGCAGCATTAAGAATATCGGAGTTGGTAGCTGCCAATAAAAGAGGAGAGTCGGGTCTCAGTTTTTCAGATGTTTCACTGTTAGAAAATACAGTGTATATTAATATAGTTAATCAAACAACCTACTCCCAGTTGATCAGTCTTTGATCTAAGTTAAATGCTTGTAATGAGGAATGGATATGTCCGGTAAATAGGGTAAGAACTTATATGTCATCCAGACCTATTTCTGCTGGAAATTTTTTAATTCACTCAGATGGTTCCCCATTAACAAAATTTCAATTCATTTCTGTAATGCAGAAATGTTTCAGTAAGTTAGGTTTGAGTCACTTCAAATTCACATCCCATCCTTTTCGTATAGGTGCTGCTACAGAAGCAGCAGAATTAGGTCTTGATGACTCTGTAATACGAAGGATCGGTAGATGGCAGTCAAATAGATTTAAAATTTATGTGAGACCTAACTTATCTCTTTAATTCTTTTATTTTCTGGGCTCAAAATAGAGGATCCCATCGTATTTATTCGGAGAATTTAAGTATGACGAATTTTGCATTTTTTGGAAGGGAATTCGAGGTTTGTCTTGGGATAAATTGTTGATTGTGTTTACAGGTTTGTTACATTGCTGGCCTGTACCTGATATTGTTATAATACATTTAGGTTGCAACGATATTGGCAAATTCAAAACGTTAGATTTAATGTTTAGAATGAAGGATGATATGTCCCTTATAAGAATGATGTTTTCTCATACTAAAATTATATTTTCAGAAATTGTACCCCGGCTTGCGTGGTTGTCTTCTCCTTTGTATCGACATTTGGAAAAAATAAGGAAACGTTTGAATAAGGCTATTGAAAAATGTTTGCCCATTATTGAGGGTTTTTCTTTTAGACACGTAGATTTGGAGGGATTTTATAGACAAGACCGGGTACATTTATCTTACGTTGCTTTAGATATATTTAACTTGGATATGCAATATTGTATTGAATTGGCCGCGACTGGTAGTGGTGCCTGGACTTGCGGTAATGCAAGTCAGGCTGGTGGGAACTAAGTTACAGTCAAGCAAAGTGGATTTGCCCGAGTTGTAATGACTGGGCAAAGATTTGGTTTTGAAGTATTACTCGTTGGTTTATGTTATGTTGGTTAATAAAGTTAATTTAAAGAATTTTGTATATATATATTATACCAATAAAATTGGCCGCGGCCATTATTTGCCAATATCTGGTTATCATGTTTATTTATTCAATAATTTTAGCATATTGTAAGATAAGAATGTCGTCTGCAGTCCCATGTCCAATGCATCCTAAAGAAATAGCGCTCATCTGTCTGGACGTAGTTAAGGCGGTGCAAGTTTATTTGTCTGCTACTGAATCTTTCAGCAAGTCAGATTCTCTTTTTATGATTACTGAGAACCCACAGAAAGGAGAAGAGGCTTCTACAGCTAGCATTTTTTGTTGGCGCATACAAGTTATTGTTCAGGCTTATGCTCTTTGTAGGACAATCTCCACTTTTTCTGGTTACAGCTTATTCTTCTTGTGCAGTTAGCACCTCATGGGCTTTAGAACATCAAGCACCTATTGCTCAAGTCTGTAAAGTGGCTACCTGGTCGTCAGCACACACTTTTACTCATTCCATTATAGTTGATGTTGTTGCATCTGCGGACGTTTCCTTTGGTCACAAAGTTTTACAAGCAGCCGCTTAGTTTGGGTGAGCCGGGGTTTTTTGTTATTCAATTTTTTTTTTTTTTATTGCTCCTGCCCCTCGGTGGCCACTGCTTTGAAACGTCCCATCAGTACAGAGATCAGGATTGCCGCTGTATCCTTCAATGAACGAAAGAGAAAATAGGATTTTTCGGTACTCACCGTAAAATCCTTTTTTCGTGTTCCTTGAAGGACACAACCCCCCTACCTTCTTTAAGTCTATTTGTGTCTTAGTTCTACTGCTTTGTGACTAACAACTGCCTTGGATGGGGGTGTGGCCACTAGCAGGAGCCATCCCCAGAGCCGAGCTTCTTTTTGGTGCCTTGCATCCTACTCCTGCAAGTAGCAGCATAACCCATCGATACACAGATCAAGATCTTTGCTGTGTCCTTCAATGAAAGCAGAGAAAATAATTTTACGGCAAGTCCTAATATTTTGAATGATGTCTCATACACTACTGAGCTACAGGCTGGGAGGACATTTGCACAGCGAGTAGCATACACATTACAGTGTTTTGTTGCTGTCTTTTTGCAGTAAGTGACCGTCTCCAAAAACATCAAATTAAAGATAAACTCCAGGCAGATATGAAAGACTCACATGCAGCTCTGAAATCATTATATCCATGTATTTATTTGTTTAATGCAAACAGTGTAAGATCCTGAATTTAACTTGGTAAGCAACTGAATTTGACTCTTAAAATTTTCTTGCAGTCACCAGAGTAAAGTTTCTTGCAGTCACCAGAGTTCAGACTGGTGGAGCAACAAGCAGAACAAGCCAATCAGTTGTGCTGTAATGCTAAGGAGCAAAGAACATATTGACAGAGTGAACAGATGAGTCTGCTGCTTCTCCTTTTATTGTCAAGTTGCAGGGTGAGGGTGGGGATAAGAATAGAGTGTTACTAAACTGCAGAAGGGAACATGAAGTTTCCTGCTGGGCTGTGATGTGTGACACAACTGTTTAAATCTCAGAACTGGATGGACATAAGTAGAAATTCTTTGGAAGGAAATACATTTCTTATACACGTATTTCATCTGTGTATTTAGCTGTTTGACTGGAGTTCCACTTTAAAACAACTGCACGTATAAACCTAATAAACTATTTAAAATCACTTAAGTACAATATACATTATTAATATTATACATACATGTGCATAATATTTGCTACAATATTTGTACAAACACAAAAAAACTATTCAAACTTTAGTCTTGAGGGAAATTGGAACTAAAAGATTCACTAAAAGATAAATTCTGTTACTTACTCATGCATTCTGTTATCCTGTACATGTCGATGCAATGATATCTGGTCACTCAAATAAATATTAATAGCATATTTTTCTATGCTTTCCTCCTGCATCTTTTTTTCTTCAGGACTCAGAGACAAATGTGCAGCCTTTCCCCATTCTCCTGGAAAGTTTGGATTTGGGAGAGGTTTAATGTAAACTGGACGACTCAGGTCCTCAATTTTTTCCTTGGTACCAACAAAGTCTCTTTCCCATATGCTTTTTGTGGCAGAGTTCTCATTCAATGAGTGGGAATAAGAAAAGGAAAGGTTTATCACCATACATGTAAACATGAATATGCCAAGCAGTGCTAGTGTTATTACAAATAGAGACCATCTTCTCAGACGGATCCTCATTGCATGAGACTTCAGGTCTTGTCAGCACTAAGTCACCACAGATTGCGTGTCTGAAAAGAAAAGGATATAGTTGCATTTTGAGAAATAATTTTAGACTATAAGAGAAGGAGTATTTTACATTTCCTGTCAGAAACACTTGAAGATTCTTGCACCCATTCAGCTTTATACTCTCAGTGAGCATGTTCCAACTTCCTATCTACTCTCCTCCTCACTGCTCCCTCCCTCTTCAGGGTCTCCTTTGTAAAAGGTCATCTATTGCTTCCTGTCAGCTGTACTGCAGTCTTCCTACAAATATTCAGCTTTACACTCTAAGGGCCCATTCAAAACACAGTGCTGCATTAATCACATGCACTACGTTTTCACTTCTCCACATTGTACTGCAGTACCACACATTGCGCCGCAACGCTCGGGCCAGCGGGAGTGCCATTTAAATGAATAGCAATACAACTAACCTAGCCCAAGGTAGCACATGCAAGGTACTCTGTGCGACAGAGTGTGTTAAGCACATGCCATCATGGAATCAATGTAACACCATGGTGTGAATGGGCCCCAATAGCTCCTGCAACACTTCTGTCGTCTTCTCTCCAGGGTTGTTCTACAGCCCCTACCCACTTCCCTCCTTTGCAATGTCAGTCAAAAACAACTACTGTGTGTCTATATATGTCAGATATATCTATCTATCTATCTATCTATCTATCTATCTATCTATCTATCTATCTATCTTTCTAACTAACTATCTATCTATCTATCTATCTATCTATCTATCTATCTCTTTACAATGACAGCACATCCAGGAATTGAAGGTTTTTGGCCACAGACATTTTTTGGGCAGAGACAAATATTATTAGCAGACACACACATGCTTTTGGGGATAACGAACACATGTGCAGTCAGGTCAGAAAAGGGGGCAGGCAAGAGCAGACACTTTTCGGAATTTTCAGGGCTCTGTCCATTCAGAATAGCCTTGCATAATAGAGAGCAATGAAGCCTGCTTCAGGTATGTGGCAACTGCACCTTACACCTATTGGCAGCTTAATTTTGGTGGTCATGATGTCATCTGCCCCTCTTCTCCGCCTCACCCAATCAGAGAACACCTTGTATTCACGGAAATAAAAATACAGGGTGCTTGCTGCATGGCAGAGGTACAGAAGCAAGCAAATCACTCTAGTAGCACCTGGAACAGGACAGAACTGACTGCATACAACACAGGCTACTACAGTGAATTTCAGAACACCTAGCAGCCCTCCTGATGCAACACAAGGATAATTACATAGAACCAAGCTGGCCCAATGCAAGCTTAAAAATAAAGAACTTAAAGCAGATATCACAAGTATAGGAGAAAGTGTGAGAGGCTTGGAGGAAAGTTTGGATATACCGTATATACTCGAGTATAAGCCGTCCCGAGTATAAGCCTAGGTACCTACTTTTACCCAAAAAACTGGGAAAAAGTATTGACCCGAATATAAGCCGAGGGTGGGAAATGAGGCAGCTACTGGTAGATAGATACCAATAAAATTACATTAATATTTATTTAAAAGAAAAATAACCTAGCTCTGTAAGTGGAAAAGGGGGTACAGGGCTACATATCATGTACTACGGATCATTTAACCCATTCATATTAGCAGAGGATAATTGTAAATCTATTAGGGCACTTTTCACCCAAAAAAATGGGCTGAAAATCTCGGCTTATACTCGAGTATATACGGTATGTACTTCCAGAGTGGAGATACAACAGCAAGTTGTCAGCAGCCATTCCTCATTGCTCCAATACATGATATACAAAATAGATGATATGGAAAACAGGAGTAGGCGCAATAATATAAGGATACGTGGAATCCCAGAGACAATAGAGACCCCTAATCTGTTATTAACAACTAAGGCTATACTGAAAGACACAATGGACAGAAGCCCGGAAGGAGAGTTGATAGTAGATGAGGTGTATAGAGTACCAGGCTACCTTAGAAAAGAATCCTAGAGACGTTATTTGTCGCCTACACTATTATACTGAAAAAGAAACCATTTTGTCAGCGGCTAGAGTTAAGAAATCAATGATATATGATGGTCAGGAGATAAACATCTTTCCTGATCTCTCAAAACACAACGCTGACGCTCAGAAAAGCATTGAAACCTGTTTTAGGAATCCTACAAGAAAAGGAAATAAGATACAGATGGGGTTTCCCTTTTCAGCTAACAGCAAGTAGGAATGGAAAAACACCAATATTCAGGATAATAGACGATTTACCAAGATTTCTAGACACCCTGGAATTACCACCAATACAACTACCGGAATGGCCAATTGATTTAAATAAGGTTGAGGAACCCCCAAAAAGAGGATGGACAGTAGTAAGACCCTGAGGTGTTCCTAAGAAATGAAATAAAGGAAAAGAAGAAATAAAAAAGGAACTGAATGATTTTAAAGGGGGGAAAGACGCTGATTATAGGCAGACTATATGAAAGAAAGGGGTTATCAGTCCAAGTATATAAAGTGACACTTTGTTTTTCTGGAGTATGAGATGTCTGGGGCAGGGGGGAGGAGAGGGGAGGAGAAGGGGAGAGGGGAGGAGAAGGGGAGAGGGGAGGAGAAGGGGAGAGGGGAGGAGAAGGGGAGAGGGGAGGAGAAGGGGAGAGGGG